GTTATTCTGTATGTACAGCAGGACAAGCCCAAGCCTAGGAAATTAGAAGCATGGATCTAAGTGCACTTCCTGAATACTCCTAAATCAGTATCTTGCTGCGTTCTATACCACTCTCATCAGGCTGTATGTTATCTTACATTGGTGTTTTTGCTGCTGTATGTCTACATTACTCTTTATGGATAGCAAGCTTTCCTAGGTCTCATTCAGACTTTTTATCAGATTCCTTGATAGAGGTTCTGGCATTTTTCTGATACAAAGGTTTTCATAGAAAGATACTGATTTTTTTCAAGACTGAAACTCTATGCAGCTTTAAGAAACTTTCATTTGGAACATTTCCCACGTCAGCTTGCAATTTTCAGTCAAAACCATACACAAGGAAGAACTTGTGAAGATTATGAAGACCTTGTTGGTGTGGAGAATTACCTGAGATGTGGGAGTGCCAAATTCAGCCTTCTTTGTTATCAACTCCTAAGCTTCTGGTTGTCAGAAGCAGAAGGGAATGATACAGGAAGGATGGCTCTGTAAATGCTATGCCTCACTGCCATCAAGCACCCAATAGTGAGCCAGGTCGTTAGTCTTACCAAAGAGGGCAGTTGCTCTGTCCCCTGGGCAGTTCATGTCCTGGTGGAGGCTTTTGGTCTGTTGTTTTCATAGAACAGTTTCACAGTGTTGGGGGTTCTGCCAGAACAGGAACATCTTTAAAATCTTGAAAATGTCAGTAGACTGTCAGTTCATTTCTTACTGCATTCTTCACCATCATAAGCAGTTGTTTTAAGAAAACAAAGTTCACTGTGGTTTTGTAGCTGTACTTTAATGAGTTTATTCTACTGGTTTTGATCTAAACTGTTAACAAAATAGAGCTGAATGTATAGAAGATATAGAAAGGCTATGATTAAGCAGGTCAGATGTTCTTTACTATGAAACAGAGATAAAGAAGTAAAGAAATAATAGGAAAAACATGTGTTGCTGTAGTTGTCACTGTAAAATACCTAAAGTGACATCAGTTCTGCCCAGTTAGCTAATACACAAGATCCATACAACTGAACAGTCTTCAAGGTTGGTATCATGTAAGACAATGCTGGTTCATCACTTTCTAATAATGAGATACTCCTGGGTGTGTTAAACGAAAAATGTGTAAAATGCCAGTTGCTAGGTTTTTCATTTATTGTTAGTTGTTGATCTAAACAAATTTAAGTATTTTGCTGACTCTTTGGGTTTGCTAAATTGAAAGAATACCAGAATGCATAGTAATACAAAATTTCCCTTCTAGTATACCTGTATCTCAGGAACAGATGATCATTTCTATATGAAGCAGCCATTTATATTGTGCTATATTGTACTTAAACATATATTTAAAACATTTTTAAAAATTTTAAAACAAAAATATGCTATACCCTTGATGCTTTTGCTGTACTGTCAGTGAGGATGCCAAGTGCATCCCTGGCAGCACAGATGCTACCTGTGCTCCCACTTCCCACAGACAGGAGACCTAAGAATCCACGAGTATCACTTTCAGGTCCAGTCATCTTCAGAGCTCCTTCCTCAAGCCCTTTGCAATAAAGTAGTTGGGTTTTGAAAGAGTGATGAAGTGGGAAATGCTAAAGCACCTAATAAGAGGAAGGACATGATAAACAGGTTGACTTTCCCTTCATGTCGTGAGAAAATCCCCAGCCCAGACAGGTACAGCAGGGTCTCCAAATATTCCTATAAATAAATTTTTTTTATTGAATGCAAAGATGATGTGTCAAGCTCCTGAGAGTATTGGTCCCATGTAAACATAAAAAAACCTTCATTTTACAAAGAAAAAGAATTCTGTTTCCCCCAAGGGAGCAGAAGTATCAGTGTTTGCCTTGAATTGCCCCCTTGTCACAATGGCCAAAAAAATTACAAGACAGTTACAAATTACACCTTTACATATAGAAGTTAATAATCGGAAATCTGGAGAAGAAAAAAGCATTTGTGAGAAAGTTTAATGTTTCATATTTCAAGTACTGTTTCAAATTAGCAGCCACTCCTGGAAAAGTGTGATTGTATTAATTATAATGTATTAAAGAGTTTTCATTGATAAACAGCTTCAAGGGAAAAGCCAAAGATCCATGGCACAAGCAAACAAATGCTAATTACTGAAGAATTCATTCTTGCAGACAACTTCACATGAGAATACTATGGTATACAGTAACAGTCATACCAAAGATAGTTTCTTTGATTACAATACTCATCTGTTATGGCTAAAATATGGGCACTTTGAAAGAGCAAAAATATTTTTGCCTATGCAGGTCCCTACACAAATTAAAAGGTTCCTGACCTTGTTTTCTTATTAGAAATATATAAATCTTCATTACAATGAAGAGGAAAGTTAGTCATAATTAATCATATCATTTTTCAGTGTTGATATAAACCTATGCTGAGGCTGACGGAGGAAAGACTGAGTGTGCCATTTTCTTAAACATCAACACTTCGGTGATTTACCAAATCCCATGTTTGACAGCTGCATGATAATAATTTCTCTGGGTCCAGTTTCCCTTTCTCTTTGTCACCCCAGATAAGTGACAAATTCACTAGAGAAGTAAGTCAACATTGACTATGCCTTTTGCTAATGATATAGTCAAGCTTCACACAAAACACAATCTCAGCATATATTCACCAGCCTAAATAGGCTGATGAGAGGTGTCTGAGAAGGTTTCAACTCTATTCTTAAATTTATACTCAGGTTTCAATGCAAAGAAGGAGGATTTTTTTTGCCATACATATTTCTATGTGTAAATATGTTTATTCACCATAGTGGATTTCCTTAGCAATTCCTAAATGAATCAAAAAAGCACTTCTGGTCTAAAGCACTGAAGTTCAGGAAGTACATGAAAGCATGGACAGTTCATCTAAAGGAATTACTTT